CTCTGGGTTATTTAATGCTGAATTCGAAATAATTTGAACAAGGCAGAGACTTCGACAGTTGAACAGGATATGGCACTGTTCCCAAGAATGTTAAGTTTTGAGATATGTAGTGTGACACTATAAGGTTTCACAGATGGTAGTTGAAAAGATGGTGACCCTGTCGTGACTCTGGTGGTTTAGAATTAGGATTAAAAGGGTTGATGCGAAAATCCAGAATTGGAGCTTTGAGGAGTCTGTGATAATTGTGCGAGATGCATGCAAACCGAACGATCGGTTGAAGCCAGCAATAGGATCAGCCGTTGGAGAATACCGAGACGAATCAACAGCGAACGAGGGATCTGTTGAACCCCACGTGACCTGCCGCCGAGGTTGCCCGACCTGACATTTTTAGACCGTTCCAAGTTTTACTAGCAAGAAATCTAGTATCACGAAAGAGAGTCGAAGGGGAAGGATTCATTTTGTTGTATCAACGATTATATAAACCATCTAAAAATGAATCCTGCAGCCTTCTTCGCTATTTGTTGTGATATTTGTGTTTTCATCGGCATTATTGTTCTTTCTCATAGCACGGTTCTGCCAACTCGATTAAGCGCGGACGTAAATTCGATCTTCACTGCACTGTGATCAAAGAACACAACGTGGGCAGAGCAGATAAAGGAACAAAGCGGTCAACAGATAACCATCAAATGACTGGTGCTAGTAATGGCCAGCGTAGGAACAACACAGGATTGAACCTGGCCATCTCTGTTATAGTAGCAGGAGTAGCAATACTCAATGCACAGAAGAATGGCAGAGTTATAAATGTGCAAGAAGGATGCTGGCGACACAGTGAACCAACTTTCCTAGAAGTAGACCTAGGATTTTCAATTTTTTAATCGGTTTCATTGCAAACAAGGCAGTAAATCCACTAAGATACAAGAGGCTTACATGGCATGAAAGAATTAGGAACAGAAACATTATTAATGACCGGAAAGAGAAAAGAGTAATCAGGGGAACAGTAGATAGCGATTGACACTGCATTTAAATTTTTGCAGATTAAAGTTGGTTGGAAACCATGGAGTTTTTCAAGCGAGAAGTGCGAAAAAAGAAACTGTTAACATAGCATTTACCCCTACATCTAGCCAGTCTAGTACTGCGCTAGTACTGCGCTTAAATTTTAAAAAGTCTAGCGAAGAGCGATATTTATTTGTAAATATTTACAAAATGTCGCACAAGGCCAAAACGGGGTATGAGGAAAAGGACGGTCTTCATCTTTCTTAACTTTAAACTGAGCCACAAACACTGACCCAAACGTAACACTGTATTCCTCATACCAAAACAACACATTCTACCTTATCTTTCTTAGTACATCCACCACAATACCTCATAGTCTATATGAAGATATTAACTATTCCCTATATGTACAATACATTGGTTGTGAGTGGGGAGGGTAATAAAACAAACAATTTAAAAACCAGCCCCAATGAGTATTTACAATATCAAAACAAAAAGTATTTCAAGAAACCAAATAAAATAACCCACCCACACATCACAAACCTTAAATATGGCAGAAACATCACTTAACTGAACGAAATTAATGCGGGATTTAATAATGTAAAACATTCAATATAGTCTTTCCACTTCATGTCAGCTAAGAACGTTAGTCTTAGAAGGCGTAGAGTGTCACTTTCCTGGAGGTTAGCATCAGCCATGCTGATGGAAGGCAAGGAGGGGTGTCTCTGATGATTAATGGGGAGAAGTTTAGTTTTCGATGCGTTAAATTTTATAAGCCCTGTTTTGCCCCAGTGAGCATACTTTCGGACATTGGCTGTCATTTTGACCTTGTCGGACTGATCAGCCTTACTATCGAGACAAGATTAAATGGTTGTGTCATCACATGAATCTTCAGCTGCAGGTTTCTCTGCGCGTAGGCAGAGAGTATGAACAGCACAGCTGGAGACGAATCTCCAACTGCAGGATATCTACCAACCACCCCACGCGGTCAGACGTCGCATAAGGCCGAATTTAATGTGGGGTATTCGAGCCAGTAAGCTCAGCCAAAAATTTCCAGTAGACCCACTATTAAATGGGGTCGGGTAACTGTTTACGAGACGAGACTCTGCCCTTCGACTAGAATTTGACCAGCACAGCAGGAGACAATTCTCCAAATGCAGACCAACATACAATATTTACTACTGTACTTATGTGAATGGGGACATAATCCTGTATAATATGATTAATTCATTAAAGAAATGGTAAGGGCAGAGGACGCCATTTTCTTTGATAATGATATCAATTCTAATGAGGAAATGTTTTCAAGAGATTGGGAAAATAATGTGGGTGACTTTCGCTTTGATCAAAATATTAAATTCCTTGAGAAAACTCCTTGCCAAAGGATTGTGAAATCAATCTAGCTTTTGAACCAACAGAATTAACATTTAACCATTTTTATATTCTCTTATTTTGAAGTTTTCAGCTCTGTTTTAGAACAATATAGACTTATTTTGTTCAATAAATATCTTTCAAAATATATAGCATTTTGTGTTTTTGAAAAAAATGTTAATTTTAAAATTTGTCTTTCACACACAAGTACGTCTAATATTCAGGAACATAGGTAGATTAATCAGTAGACTATTTCAACCTGATTCCATTTTTATTTGGAGGAAAACTAGTTATTCAGTTTCATTTTAGATTTGTCATTTGCCGACCAGATTTATCGAGCGAAACGAAACTTTTTTATTTGCTAAGAAAGATTGGTCAATGATCTTTTGAATCACAATAACGATATTTTAACCTTAATCCATCATCTGAGGAAAATATGTCGGATAGTAGTTAATGATTCAGCGTTACTTTTTGTTTGATCTTTTAACCATGCGCCATATTGCCGATAAACTTCTGCTACGTTCGACAAATTTCCGCTTGATTGTACCCCAGATTTGAGATGACCTTCACAAATGACCTTTTTCATAGCAGCGAATAAATTTAACAACTTGATCTTGTCAGATGGAAATCGCAACCTTTCAAAATAGCAGACTTTTCGGAGGTGTATGTCAGATATTAGTGCCATTATATGAGAAAAACATGTCAAGAAATTTGTTAGGAAAATATCTATCTATTTTATTATAATATCTATCTAGCTATCTAGCTAGCTAGCTATGAGAAAAAGTGTTAGACAATTTAGCTTGATTCAAAATCTGCCCAAATGATCAGTCATAAAAATTTATTTGGAAATCACTTCTTAGTTGGGGCGATAACTTTTCAACAACACTTTGGATATACACGCCTTGATAATGGTCTCATATGGAAGAAAATGTTATGATCCCTGTTTATAAATTCCACTTGCATAAGGTCTGTTTTAGTTTTTTACAAGCTTTCGTCTGTTCCTACTGACATCTTCAGGTATGGAAATGGATTTGTTTTTGTTTTTTACTTCTCGGTAACAACAGGACAACGAAAAAATAGATGTAATCCGAAAATATGTTTTTAGAAATGTGTTATTGTTAATTGTAAGAAATTTTTTTGGAGCGTGCGGTCGCAACGCTGAGGGATCCTTATCATTCATATACAGATTCAGGGTTAATGTACTTTATTACATTTGTTTGCGAAGATGTATTCTCGCCATTTAAATCATTAACTTCTATATCTGTTTTTTGTATGAATGATTCATATAATGCAAATTGAACTGCACCTCATACTTGATATATATATATATATATATATATATATATATATATATATATATATATATATATAAATTATATTTGGGCAGCAACCTTTCTTTCAAAAATGTTTCGTTGAATTTAAAAGACAAGGACAATTCTATATTCTTGCATTTTTCCTTTGGGTGTGTGTAAAGATGGACAAAGATTGTTCGTATTATCCATTGTCCCAAGCGGTTTCAGTCTGTTATTTAGCTATTTTTAAGGAGCGGGGTGGGGGATGAATTTTAGGTGTTTGGTTTCTTTTCATGTGTGATTGTTTCAAATGTAGATTTGTGTGATTTTTGAATAACAGTAATGATGAGTTGCGCGTGGACAGAATGAACATTTGCAAATAAATTATTAAACGTTCTATTTAACAGTTGCGAACTGCTAAGTAACCTCGGCATATTTGGAAAGTGCATTAGAATAATTCACAATCAATATTGGCAGCAAACTGTCTGCATACAGATAGAAAATGAATTCAGTAAATATATAAATAGAAGCAGATGTAAGACAAGGATGTGTCTTCTCGCCGGACGTACTTACCATATACGATGAAGAAATTCTGAGAGGATTAAAAACCTACCAGCATTCATTACTGGCGGCCACAATTCTAATAAGATATAGAAAAGGCACAAGTTTGGTGACAAGAACAGAAAGGTAACTATAAGAACTCCTACAGAATGTAGTGAAGAATTGACTAAACATCAATTGCAAGAACCCAGAATGCACGGTTGTAAGTAAAGGCTTGGTTGTCTATAAAAGGAACAATAAAAGAAGCGGACTAAAGAATTGGTGGTGCCAAAGTCAAGGAAATACAAACATTCAAAATATTTGAAAAGCGTTTAACAGAGGACAGAATGTGTGTCACCAAAAATCGGAAGGCACATGTGCAAAAATCAAAAATGTTTTCCAAGAGTCTAGCAATATATTAAGAAACGGAAAAAATTTCATTAGAAACAAAGAAAAGAGAACTAGACTGTCATGCAATATCAGTTCTGCTATATTGAAGTGATGCTGGATGAATTCCTCGCAGATAAAGAAGAAATTTGAGACACCAGAAATATTGTTATATAGAACGATGCTGAGAACGGCATAGATTGAACATGTGAGCAATAACAATGTTTTAGTGAAAATGGAAACAAAAAGAACACTTGTACTTAATATCAGAAAGGGACAATTGATATTTGTAGGGTACCTTTGTAACCTAAAAAAGGTTACTGAATGAGGAATAACCAAAACGGAGGTTGGAAATGAAATGGTAATCTTTATAATATCAACAAAATACAATACTCGCCAGCGGCTTGAAGTAGGTAAACCACTAATGGGTATGTCCTAACCCTCATAAATACGTTGGACTCTATTTTAAGTAGGGTGTTATGGTAATTTACCCACCTGAGCATGGACTCTCCCAGCTATAAATACGAGCAGGTATTGCCTTTTGGAGAGGGAAATTTCCAGCAGTCAGCTCTGACAGTCGGACCGAACATTCTTGCTATAACACTCTCGTTTTTATATTTTTGCATCACTGTTTCTGTTAATATATTTGTTTAGCTCAATTCCTCTCTTGTGTCTTTATTTCTGGCCCTAACAAGGCCACAACATGGGGGTAATATGCTGTCAATGTAGTCCACCACTAGCAGTGGTTTACCTATATCACGCCGCTGGTGAGTATTGTATTTTGTTGATGTTATAAATATTCCCATATCATTTCCAACCTCCGTTTTGTTTATTCCTCATTCAGTAAACCTTTCTAGGTTACAATACGATCTATCTATCTGATTTAGTCGAAATCAATTTCATTCGGAATCTATCTATCCCAGTTGAAATCAATCTATCTATTATATATCGTACCTATGAGCACTAATGGGTATGTCCCAATCCTCATAAATACGTTGGACACTATTGTAAGTGGGGGTAATATAACAGGTACGTAATGAGAAAAGTGGTTTAGAAAATTTGACACGCAGTGGGTATATTGAAGACGAGTGTAACAGCAGAAAACAGCGCATAACTAACTTAACAAGCTTGTGGAAATGGTTGGTAGATCAGAGTTTAGGAGAAATAACAAGAAAACAAAATTACTAAACTTACTGTCTGGAGGATAAAATAGCTGTAATTACCTTCCCAGGCCAGTATAAATTACTAAATAAACGATTAGATCTTATCCAAAAATGCAGACAGTAAAGCAAATTATTACTACGTTGCTAGAAATTTGAAAACTAAAAACGAAAATAAGTAAATCAATAAGTAAAATATAAATAAGATAAACAAAGAAGTAAAAAAAAAAATAAACAAATTAATAAACTACAAATGTACATATAAATACGCACAAACACAAGTAAACATAATCATAATATTCAACAAAACATAATAACAATAATCAATAATATGTAAATATGTTAATAAACAGCATTATAAAATAGCCCCAAACTACATTCAGATTCACAATTATTTCTATTCAGTACACAGTAAAAATCGGAGAGAAAAAACAAGACATAGGCTAAAATTGAAAACTAAAAACGAACGAAAAAATAAAAATAAAATAAATAATTAAATAAAAATAATAAATAATAAATAAAAATAAACCAAATCAATAAATAAGTAAACAAATTAAGTAAATAAATAATCATTTTAATAAGCTACAAATGCGCAAATAAACACAAGTAAATCATAACACTCAACAACAAATAATCATTTAATCAATAATAAATAATAAGTAAAAAAATGTAAACAAACAATACTATAAAATATCTACAAATAACAGCATTCGGATTCACAATTGTTTTTACTCAATAACCTTTAGAATAATTTGAAACATAACCATGACCAATAACAGTTAGGATAATACAATGCATTTTCTACCCATAATGCAACATTGACCAGAACACACACACACGCACGCGCACACGTGTGTATAAGAAATTCAAGTACAACTAAAACTATAACTATAAAAGGACAATATAAATAAAAACATAAAGAAAACTTATCTTTACCGACGCGTTTCGTCCTCTGAGGGATTTTATCAAGGCGAATCTAATGAATTAATGTTGCAACAATTATTTATAAACGGATGAGCGTTATTAAATTAATTTTTTTTTTCACCCAAATGATGTGTTAACATCTGTTTATAAAATCTTGTTGCAAAAAAAAGCAAACAAAAAAAAAACCCTTACATTTGCCTGGATAAAATGCATCAGCGGTCAAAAGTGTCGATTAGGAAAGTTTTCCCTTTGTCTATATTATATATATATATATATATATATATATATATATATATATATATATATATATATATATATATATATATATATATATATATATATATAAATATATATATATATATATCGATATATATATATATTGACTATTAATATATATATATATATATCGATAATATAGTGGTCAATATATATATATATATATATATATATATATATATATATATATATATAAATTCCCAAGATGATAGAATCCAGGTAGAACTCAATGTCCAGCACAGAGTAAGAATATAATATAAATGGTTTTAAATATTGATTCTATGGATATAATTTATGACATTGGAATCGTAATGACTCGGACTTTGGATCGTCATTACGATTCTAATGTAATAAATTATATCCATGTAATATCTATATATCATTTCCGTTAAATTAACCATCTAAATAGGTCAAGGTTCGGTCACTCCTCCTACCCCAATATAAAGCATGCTTAAGAGAGATACTCTACCTTGTCTCTTTAACTACAACTCTCACGCCCCGCCCTGTTAAATTAAAAAATTACATTACCCATCAATTTCTAATCCCATTTTTCTTTTCATTTCGTTGTTGGAATTGTTACCTGATGATCCGGAGTCCTTTAAAAAGGATTTTAAGAAATAAATTATTGTAATGGTACCTTAAAGTGGTCTGTTTTCATTAAATATTAGCTCTGTATTCACATTGAGCTCTCAGGATTTCATCTTCCTTGAATTACTCTTTCGGTTTACCAGGTTCTTCGTAATATATATATATATATATATATATATATATATATATATATATATATATATTAAGACATTTTTACGTTTATACATTCCTTTTATAGATACAAATCTTTAAGTAAATGCTCTGTTTTTATAATAAACAGTATTAATAACATTTAACGGCCTGAATGTCCGAGAAATTTTCATAGAAAATATTCGTTCTCCGACAGTAATCGAACCTGTATCTTATACGGAACCGTCATATAGCCTGACGTGCCTTAACCAACCGAGACACGGAGAATCGTTCGATTATCAAGGTCGATGTTACTGTTTTTAAACATCTTCCATGTATCTCTCACGTACATTCATATCTGCTCAAAGCGTATCCAAATGTAAACAAATGACGTCACACGTTATGAAATGGATAAAGTCCGACAATTATTTTAAGACATTTTTATATTTATGCATTCTTTTTATAGATACAAATATTTAAGTAAATGCTCTGTTTTATAATAAACACTATTAATAACATTTACCGGGCTGAATGTCCGAGAAACAGAGCATTTGTTGCCTCTAAGTGTTGACTTCAATGTTCACTTTTATATTTACACACGCTCTATCTCTTATATAGAGTAATTTATCCTATAAATATAGCGCACCTTAAGAGTATATTTCATATATATATATATATATATATATATATATATATATATATATATATATATATAAATATACAGGTATACCTTACTCTACGTTGTTAATTGGTTCCTGAAATCACGACTTAAGTCGAAATAACCACACAATAAACCGCAAATAAGCACTCCCCAGTGCGTAATCTAGTACAGTATTCGGAATAAAATAATTTATAAGCGATATGGCCTTACGCTTAGTATTAGCAATGAAAGAACGGCCTGACAATTTTTTTCCAATATAATCCAGTACCGTCAACGTTAAAAATTTGTTCAGGAAAAAAGCTGTTTTCTTCGATGATCTTAGGCAATGCTGTAGGAAATTCGGCTGCTGCTTGTTTATCAGCTGGTGCACTTTCACCTTGCTTCTTAGTAGAGTGATAAGTTCTTCGTTCTTTAAATCTAATAAACCAGCATTTACTAACTTTAAACTCTACATCTTTCTCATCTGGGAATTTTTTGTTCAGGTCCTCAAACAAAACAACACTTTTACTTAAAAGATTTCTTAACTAATAGCATGAGGATGATTCAACCTATTAATCCAAAGAGAAAGAAGTTGGTCTATCTCTTCAAAGACTTTTCCTCTTTTCTTATTGATAACAGTATTCTTCATCCCTGGGACAACAGATTCTCATTTGTGCCAAAATCTTATTCTTATTGTGAACAATCTTCGATACAGCTGCTCGAATCCTTCCAAAGATCGAGCAATTGATATAACCTTTTCACCTTTTTCATGGCATTTTATCATAGTAAGTTTATCGTCCAGCTTTATAGTATGACACTTAGCATTTGCACTAGGAATTTTTCTTAGGAGTCATTGGGCAAAATATAAAATCACAAATGAATGAGAATGAGAGAGTAGGCGATAAGCAGACGTATAGCGTGCGTATACCTAAACTAAACTGGATTTTAATTTCGCGGGCATCACGAGTGACACTGACAACGACGCCAAACGCTAGATATTGGAACTACCGTAAAAAAAAGTCAATATTGACCTCTTAAAGACCGCTAAATAAGACGACAACACAGAGTCAGATATGTTTTCATATTTCGTTCTCTAGGATTTATGATGATTATATAAACATTTACTGTAAATGTATGTATTTTAATATGATTTTATATACTTTTATTCTTCTTTATTTTATAGTAACATAATTTTATGTGCTTTTGACGCTTTTCTAGGGATATTACGACTTCAATATTTGTGGCGGACAGACGTAAAGTCAAATAAAATGACTTAAACTTGATTTTTATTATTCCACATATTTTTTGCCAAACGGTGTATAATCGAGAAAGACTTAACTCGAAACAACGTAACCTATCTCTCTCTCTCTCTATATATATATATATATATATATATATATATATATATATATATATGTAGAAATAGGACGTTCCTTTATAAATATTTTGGGAACTTAAAAGAAGGTAGCAAAACACCTACCGTAAAATGGAAAATAATAATAATTAAAAAAACAACAGACAAACTAGAACTTGTAAACCTTTAAATGAACCACGCAATTATGTTTAGATGAAAAATTAGAAATCATCAAATTTGCTGACAAAAAAATCATTATTAAACCAGCGGAGGGAATTAACTGTGAATTGCCGACACAGTTTACCTTTTACCTTAAGATATAATTATATTTTTTTAAATTACGTATAACCGTTTCTTATAGCCATAATTTATTAGTATATAATGGTCCACCCTCTACGGGTAATTATCTTATTTTCTTTATTCAGCTATATATTGCTATGTATGAATGTTCAGTTAGTATTAACATCTTATATAGATTTTCCACATTTTTAATTTTGTCTACAAGCACCTTTAAGAATATTCCTGAAACTAATTTTTTTTTAAAAAAATTCTGAAAACTTTATGTCTGATTAACTTACCCCTCACTTTAGCGCCGTTTCAAAAAATTGAACGTGTCATATTTGTCTAAAATCACGATACATTTGTCGCTGACATATTTTCCCCAAATTATTATATAGTTATATCATTATAATTAATATATAGTTATATCAAATTGTTATTAATTATAGTTTGATATAACTATATAATGATGTAATATGAGTTATTACTATTAAAAGTTTAAATAAAATTCTTCAGACAATATTAAAATTATATAAAAGTGTTATTCTTATATTATAATTTTCCTTTTCCATAATCTTTAAAACTCCTCTTTTTTTAAACTTTATGTTTGTATTTTCCTATGTAAGTTTTTCACATTTGAACAAGAGCTGATATCTTAAATATAAGGTCATTATTAATTTTTAATCGTTTTTAATTTCTGTTGAGATTTGTCTGTCATGATTCTCTCTTCATCCTTTTCTAACTACCTTAGTTTTCTTTTGTCTCCCTATCTTTCTTTTAATGTCAATTCCCTTATTTGTTGTTTGTTTCCTCTTCTTTGTTCCTCTTTTTTCTTCTTTTTGCTTCTTTCTTTCATTCCTTATTTTATTTTTATTATAAAAAAGACCAAAATAAAAAAAAAAAACATTAAAATTCATTATTTTAAAAAATGTTTTTACATTGACGAGCGCCATAGAGAATATCCCGGGGTTAAATGACCATCTAAAAGGGATAATATAGTTTCATTATTATCTAAATCATTTATATGCTCTATAATAAATATATTGAACTCTCTTTTTGTGTCAGTTTTAATATTTTATATTATTAAGATCTACTTGGATTATTACCCACGAATTTTTACTATATATATATATATATATATATATATATATATATATATATATATATATATATATATAATATAATCATTTAAAAAGTTATAATATAAAAATGTTTTAAAATCACTACAAAATAGCCATTTCTTTTAAATACTTCTGTGTCTTAATTTGTTGGTTATTGGAATTTATTCCGTATACATCAAATCAATCCTATACTCGGATATATATATATATATATATATATATATATATATATATATATATATATATATATATATATGTTAAATAAGTTTTCGTGTTACACAATTTAATTATAGCAAGGAAAAAGACCAATGTTATAAGGTATTTTTTAAAAGAAAAAAAAACAAAAAAAAACAAAAAACAGCCGATTTCGTCCCAGGACTTATCAAGTTTATTTTTCTGGGAATAGAAAATTTATAAAAGCGTGTAAATTAAATTTACGAATTGAATGGAATGAAAGGGAAAAAAAGCGAAACCAGTTTTTTTTAGATTTTTCTTTAAAAATGCCTTATAAAATTGGTCTTTTCCCTAGCTAATATATATATATATATATATATATATATATATATATATATATATATATATATGTAAGCAAATATATGGATATAGATCCGACAGTATGATGAAAAATATACAGAAAAACAAATAAACATCTTAATATGCAATTATGCAGTATTAATGTTAACATAAAGTCAACGTCGGACGTTTCGGTCTATTTTAGACCATCTTCAGGACATTTTCATAAAACATAATTAACATTAGAACATATAAAATTCAACATGAAAAGACGATGGGCATAAGAGCACAACTAATCCAAACAGATAACTGAAATTTTTATATAAGATCGGCGTTCCGTTTAAATATGGTCACGTCGTCGTCACGTGGGCGATGTTGTGAAAACGTATTCGAAGATGATTTCCAAATATTAAAATATTAAAAATTAATATCCATATATTTGCTTACATACTGTCTACTGGAAACACAAACCTGAATTTACTTTATAACATGGAAGACTTCAAGCTTGTACGAAAATATAAGAATCTATTGATCAAGTAAGGAAAGGATTTATTATCGAACTGTAAAGCCAAAAATGGTTCCATCGTCCTGATATTTTGAAATCCTTTTGATTTGTTTGTAACGTGGAGGACTTCAAGCTTGTATGAAAATATAAGAACCTATTGATCTCTGCGTATTCCTATATCAACGGAAGGGATTTCTTGAACTGTTTATATAAAATAGTTCAATCGAATTTTTTTTATATATATATATATATATATATATATATATATATATATATATATATATATGGTGTATCCAATTCAAAAATACATATAAACACTTTGCATTTATAAATACATCCAAAGATTTCAACTGTCTCCTAATTATTAATATAAATTCAAAATTACAGATAATATTTCAACAAAGAATAAATATTGAATAATGTAGAGAAAGAAACAAATGCATTGATATATATATAACCGACGATTTCTTTTATTTTTAGCGATTGTATACATCCTCCGACCTAATCTGATGTTTATTCACCTTCATGCTTAATTGATAGAATCACTTCAGTTAAATTTCATAATTATTCAATAATTCTGCTTAAATTCTGGAATGGTCGAAATAGATTTTGTCCCACGAATTTACATTTTTTCTTGAAGTCACACGGATGTGAAGGATCTGTAGAGGCTAAAATTGGCGAATGCGTCATGTATCCAAAATGGTCTCTTTATCCAATCTTTCTGGATGGGAAAAACAGACTCGGTCTCATTCTCAGTAGCGAATAATTTATGAGACAAGTTTGTTAACTATTGTCCAAGAGTGCGCCACCAAAATGACAACAGCCTCGTTCGGAAGAGGCAGTAAAAATTTAGGATAGAGCCCATCAAATTCTCTTTGCAGTCGTTAGTCGGCTGATATTTACTAGATAAGTCTATATGTCTACAGATACCACGGAAAGTGGGATACTCTATATATATGATACGATCATCAAATTTAAGCAACGTTGATCTCCGGCCAGTAACTAGAGAGGTAACCGCTCGGGAACACCAGGTGCTGTATGCTTGGATGTGCGGGTGGTGTAATGGAAAATGGTTCGGAATTGTTAATCGAAGAGCCGAGTTGCAATTCCAGTTGAGTTGTTATAATTACTTATGCACAAATACCCTTGGGAAAGGCATGAAACTCTCTTTTCTTCATAAAGTTATAAGTTAATTAGAAATACATGTATCACTACATTATTATTATCTTTGGAAAAATAAATTCTAAAAATATTTTCTGATTTTAAATAACCTGAAAAGATACATAATCGCCCAAGCGTGTCACGTATGGTACATACCTGACTGACAAGATTGGCGGTAAGGTATAATAATCTTAAAGTTGAAATGGCTAGATGTAACCGTAAGTTCTATGCTAACAGTTTCTTCTCTTGCACTTTCTCGTTTAGGAATTCTCTTCTCGCTTCTTGCTATCCAGTCAACTCTGATCTTCAAAAAATTTAAATGCAGCGTCAATAAGTTAATTTCTGTTTTAATTCCCATTCTTATATTAACTCAGTTATAATGTTTTTCTTTTTTTCATATTCTCTCACACTCAGTTCCCCTTTGTATTTTAGTCTCTTTCTTATCTTGCTTGGGGTGAATTGATTAAAAAAAAATCTTTATCAGTTAAATATTAATAAAAGTTTTCATTTTGAAATGAATTAGAATCATCTGGTCGACATTTTGTATCTAAGACTGTTTATCTGCTAATTCCTTTTGTAGACGACGGCTAAAAAACTGTGTTTGTCTAACACCGACAAAGTCTATTTATGGTTTATAATGTAACTACACTGAGCAAACAACCCTTATAGTTTCTTGGAGAGAGCGCCTAATTTGGTGGCACAGACAGTTTGAATAAAGCCTGTTCGCTCAGCTCTAAAACGTTTTCGTCTTCTTAACAGTTCTTCTTTTTCATTTTATTCACTAGACTTGGATAAAATCTTGGCATGGCTTTCAG